ATTTATTAAATAATATATAACTATATTAATATTATATTATTTTAAATAGTTAAATGGATTTACAGATATTAACATGCTACCAAATCATATAATATTTGTGCCTCCACCTAAAACAAGAGGAAAATCTAAATCGAATCAATTATTATCTAATAGTAATAGTTTACAATTACCAACTAATTCTTTACTACAACTACAATCACAACCACTATTACAAGTACCTTTACAAATATCTTTACAAGCACCTTTACAAGCACCTTTACAGTCACTATCACAATTATCTCTACAACCATTTTCACAATTATTTTCGCAAGTACCTTCTCAAGTATTATTGCAAACACCTTCACAAATACTTTCTTAAGTGCCTTCACAAGTACCTTCTCAAGTATCGTTGCAAGTACCTCAACAAATACTTTCCCAAATGCCTTCGCAAGCATCTTTGCAAGCACCTCCACAAACATCTTTATATATACAAATGCCTTTACAAATATCTTTTCAAGTGCCTTCACATATGTTTTCACATGTAGCTTTACAAATGCCACCACAAATGCCATCACAGATACTACTACAACCACCAATATATTTTCCGTTACAAATATCAAATAATTTTTCACCACAACTACCAAATAATTATTTTCCATACTTATCTAATAATCTTTTACAAATCTCATCAAATATTCCTTTATATACAATGCCGAATATCTCAGCACAACCTTATTTTATACCATTTCTAATTTTTCTTAATTTACAACCTTTATATTCTTTGATAAATAATTCAACATTACAAGGATCATCAATTTCTTCTAGCCCTGTTCCTAAGATTGATGAACCTTCAACGATAGTTATTAATAAAGTATATACTAGCTCAATAGGTAGTGCATCTGCGCTGCCTATCTTACTTGGTGTTTTTTTAATATATATTAGTGAGTTATTATAAAAAATACAATTATAAAACTTACTAATAATTGAGGTATATATGTTCGATGTCATTTCACAATTTAGGTTGATTTTGAATTAACCTACTTCATTCTTAAATTTTACTGATTTAGAAATAACTTGAGCAATTCTTAATACAACATTACAAAATTTAGTGCGATCAATTATTGTGCATAACAAATAAACATCATTGAGTTTTGAATTATAAATTATCATAATCTTCACTATAAAATTCTGTCACAAAACTTACTTGATACCTCAGTGACTATAGTTCTATTATATAGTTAAGGTCAAATTAGGTTGAGTTTGAATAAGTATTATTGTGATCTCCACTTTAAAAAATTTTGTTACAGAACTTATTCGATATGCTAGTAACCATAGTGCTGTATATGGTTAGAGTTAAATTAATTTGAATTAGAATTATCATAATCTCTACCATAAAAAATTCTGCTACAGAACTTACTTGATACCCTGGGGGCTACAGTTAAGATTGAATTAGTTTGTGCTTGAATTGGAATTATCATAATCTTCACTATAAAAAATTCTAGTTTACTCATTACCCTGGTGGCCACAGTATTGTATTCAGTTAAGGTTGAATTAATTTGAATTAGAATTATCTTGATCTTTACTATAAAAATTCTGTTACAGAACATACTTAATACACTGGTGATCAAAGTACTGTATGCTGCTAAATTGAATTAGGTTAAGTTTGAATTAGAATTATCATGATTTATATCATAAAAAAATTCTGTTACAGAACTTACTCGATATTCTGGTGACTAAGTATTGTATACAGTTAAGGTTGAATTTGAATTATCGTGATTTCTACCATAAAAAGATTCATTTACAGAACTTACTCGATACCCTGGTGACTATAGTACTGAGTGTAGTTAAGGTTGAGTTTGAATAGAAATAATCATGATATCCACTATAAAAATTCCATTACAGAACTTACTTGATACTTTGGTGACTACAGTGCTTGTTTGCAGTTAAGGTGGAATAGTTTGAATTAGAATTATTATAACATCAGAAAAAATAAATAGGCGTAAAACTTCGCAAGTTTTTACGCGAGCGTAAACTTACGAAAATTTACGATTAGTTCGGAGTA